GGAAAGATCACCTTAGTGTAGCACGGTCACAATATGGCCATATTTGTCAATGGGGAGGACACTCAAGATTTTTCTCACAACGTCGAAAGGTGACATTTGAGTTAGTCCAAGCCCATTGACTTCCTCTACAAGAACATTCAAACGTGAATACATCTCATTAGCGCATTCTTTAGGAAGCATCTCAAATGAATTTAGCTTTTTAATAACAAGATGATAGCATTCCTCACGCTCACTCTTAGTTCCCTTATGGAGCGCACAAACGTCCGACCATAGTGCATGGGCGTCTTTGTGGTTCCTTACGTGGTTGAACACATCTTTACAAAGGCCTCTAAAGATGGTGTTGCGAGCCTTTGCATTCTATTTTTCATAGTTCACTTCATCGCCTTGAAGTTGTGCGAGATTCTTAGGTGTTGGGAACCCTTGAGAGGCGGCTCTAAGTATTCCTATGTCTAGAGCTTCTAGGTACGCCTCCATGCGAATTTTCCAATACGAAAAATCATCCCCCTCGAAGATAGGAGGAGGTTCATCCCCGTGAGACATCTTGCTCTAAGCGGTTAAGCTTAAAAACATGAGCACGAGGCTCTGATACCAATTGAAATGATCAAGATGCCCAAGAGGGGGGTGAATTGGGCTAATTCTAAATTTTCTTGCAATAATCAAATCTTACGGTTAGCCCAATTAACCCCTTGTGCCTAGAAAAGTGTTTCTAATAAACTAACGCACAACGGACTAGCAACCTATGTTCCAAACTTACTCTAGCATGGCAATTCTATGAATGTTAAGACAAGTATTGAATTGCTCAAAGTAAATGCTCAAAGTAAACGCTCAAAGTAAATAGAGAGAGAGAGGAACGCGGCGATGTTTTGCCGAGGTATCGGAGAGTCGCCACTCCCCACTAGTCCTCGTTGGAGCACCCGCGCAAGGGTGTAGCCCCCCCTTGATCCGCGCAAGGATCAAGTGCTCTCTACGGGTTGATTCTTCGACACTCCGTCGCGGCGAATCACCCAAAGCCACTCACAACTTGAGTTGGGTCACCCACAAGCACCGCCGGGTGATCACCAAGCTCCCAATCACCACCAAGCCGTCTAGATGATGGCGATCACCAAGAGTAACAAGCATGAACTCTCACTTGACCACGCGAAGCCTAATGAGAAGATGGATGCACACTTGTCTACTCTTGATTCACTAATGAGGCTACTCTCTTGGATTCACGAATCTCAATCACCTCACTAGGACCTTGCTCTTCTTGGCACTCACAAACGTGTTTCTCAGCTGTTGGAATGAGTAAAAGTAACTCCACACACGAATGGAGGTTCTATTTATAAGGCAGCCTGAAAAACGAACCGTTATGTGCCTCTGCGGGGTGACCGGACGCTCCGGTCAGTTTAACCCTCATTCCAGTGAAAAAGTGTTGACCGGACGCTGGCAGGGTCCGGTCACCACTGACCGGACGCGTTCAGCCACATTAAACCCTTACTGGAACCTTACTGTACTCGACCGGACGCTGAACCCCTAGGGTCCGGTCAGTACGGACCAAACGCGTCCGGTCGCAGATTCTCTTCTCTGGAACCTTACTGGAGTCGATCGGACGCTGGCCCTCAGCGTCCGGTCACTTGACCACTCCAGCGTCCGGTCGCACCGACTGGTTCACCTCAGTCAAATGAACTGACCGGACCCTGCGGCCAGCGTCCGGTGGCACCGGAGCCAGCGTCCAGTCAGTGTTTGACCCTCCATTCACTTTCAACTCTCGAACATATGTGAATGAAGTTTGCTCCATAGGATCATAGGGCTATTGTGGAGCTACCTAGCGCTAGTTTTAACAAGTGTGCACCACACCTAACTCACTAGACTCATCTAGGTCAAGCTACCCGTCCATACCCCCCTTAATAGTACGGCCAAAGGAAAAACAAAGTCCTAAACTATTCTAAGTGTCACTCCAACTCTAATCAACACTTAGAACTAGTCATCCTTAACCTTGTCGTCCATCCTTTGAACACCGAAACGATTTCCATCGTAGGGGCATGACATCCATGATCGTCCAATCGATCTCCATTACCATAACCTAACTTATTTGCCTCTGCAAAACACACGTTAGCCATAGTAATCTTATATTGTCATTAATCACCGAAATCCAATCTAGGGGCCTAGATGTTTTCACCGACCACGAACAGTCGTTGTCCTTCCCGCACACTATGTCAGCTAGAAGAAGAAGGGAGAACAGAGCAAGCACGCACAATACAAGACACCAGAAGCCCTATTTGTGAGATGGCAAATCTGAACTCTCTTTACTGAGTTGTCATAGTAGGCTATTTATACAACTCTATCCATCTAGTCTCAGTATAGCTGCCTTGCTGCAATAGTGACTAAATAACATGCAGGGCTGACTCTGCGCCGGCCACTGCATGTGCCTACAGTGCTGCAGGTGAGTCGTGCGGCGCCTGCATCTGCAGCGGCTACAGTGTCACAGCAGGGGGCCAGTTCGGCGCCGCATTTCCCTTGCTGTGTTCACACAAGGTAACAGTAGATTAGCTAACACAAAGCACTTGTTCCATTTCTTTGGCTTTGGTAAAGAGTGCAGAAAGTGATCTACAATTTGAAGAAGGCAAATTAAACAACAGTCTGATGCCAGAAATAAACCCAATAAAAATGACAAGTATCTGTCTGAAAAAAAAGCACTCTTGCATCTGACATTCCGCAGCTTGTGTATGCATCATGCATCATTATTTGCAGGCAAGGAATGGAGAACATATTGTATCACCCGCTACATATACAAAGTGTCCAAACTGCGTTGTGATACCCGTACTGTTTGAATGTAATGCCCTAGCTATGTGTCGAAATTTGAAAGACAGAAAGCCAGATAAATGCACATTTGGACAAAATGAAACTGTAACTATTGTCAGTTACCTTTTAATTTGACGGTCTTCTTCCTTCAAGTAGCGCAGAAGAAAAAACCAACAACCAAAGGAGCAATGTAAGTCAACACTGCACCGCAATATCTGTTCTAGAAGAGAAGATAGAAGTAGGTCATCAAAATGAAAACCTGCAAGTTATTCAGTTACTGGTTTTGCTTAGGTAGCTAAGTAGATAATGTCTGGCAGAAGAGTAGAACTGAGGCACATGATGGTGTTTGAATGAGCCATCTTGTGTGCATTTTAGACTAAAACTAGCTTGAACTGCTTCATGAAGCTTAGAGATGTAACTTTGCCAAACAAAGCTTTATGTACTTAGTGAGGAAAGTTTTGTACCAGCACATGTTTCCAGCCACTGCAATGGCTGGATATGCTCCAGAATGTGAACTAAGTGCTTGCTATTTGATTTAAGTAAACCTCAGAGAGGAGATAATAGAGACAGCAAAGAGCTTATCTACTGTTTCAAGAAAACAAATTAAACTACAGTGAGCTGCTGGAAGTAAACCCAATGAAATTGACAAGTATCTGTCTAGTTTCAGAGTATCTTTATGAAAAAGAAGCACTCTAGTTCCGATGTCCAACACTCCTGCTGCTTACATATGTAACATTGCAACATGACATGCAAGCAAGGAAGGGGAAGGAAGGAAGTTTATATTGCATTTCTGTCTCTTGATTTGGTTTAATGAAGGAACCAGAGGAAATGAGGACAAAATCTGTCAAAGCTGCAAGAGTTTCCTTTTTGTTGACAAAGACCTTAAAATAAAATCCTTTGGTAACCAGCATTAGCAGGTTAATTAGACAGTTAATATATTATTAACCATTTAAATTACATTAGATCCTATAAAATTTACGGCTAAGATTTGTTTCAAGTAGGTAGAGGAGAGTGCCTTAAAAGAACCCACTACATATACAAGGTGTCCAAACTTTTGTAATTCCCGAACTGTAGGCATGTAATGCCCTATCCCTATGAGTGTACAAATTTGGAAGACAGAGAGACAGCTGAAAGCACATTTGGACAAAAATGAAATTGTAGCTGTTGTTAGTGATTTTAAATTTGATAGCCTTCCTTCGAGTAGCACAGAAGGGAAAGATCAATAGCCAAAGCGGCAATGTATTTCAGTGCACATCCTGGACAAAAAAAAGGTCAACGCTAGATCAATACCACAGTTAGCCTTGGTTGAGAGTCATCAATGTTAGATTCCATAACGTCCTCCACAAATAACACAGAGGTAGGGATAGAGATCAAATAGAGTAATGCCAATCACTGCAAATGCATTAATATTTGCAAAATAGCAACCACAAAAACAGCTTTACAAGCATACAGGTCAAAGAAGGAACTTCAATCGTATTACCCATCAACTATGTTCTCACAAGTTGCCAAAATAGTGCAATAGAGAACTATATCAACAAGGGTAGTAGTACAAGCACTGCAGCAGAAGAGAATTTTCTGGCTTGATCCCAGGAACCATATCAGATTATCAGTACACGAACAAGACAACAGAAGTTGCTGGCTCCTGGGGATGTTCCTTCTTCACCAGGGACTTGGGCCATAATTTGTGTTGTGATTTATTTATCGGGCCGTGTGGCCGTCCTGACCAACCAAATCTAATTAAAACAGTCGCATTCAATCGCAGCATTTCTTTAAACCAGTACAACTAGTAGCACGAAACCGAGACAGCACCAAGGAATCTCCCAAGAAAAACGCAGACAGTTAAAAAAAAATTGAGACCCACGAAGAACAGAATCAACAGAAACCAAAGGCTCCAAACAGCGCCCAAATCGTCTGAACCTTGTGTCTTCCCACGAGTTAATTACCCGATAAAGCCCGATGGTGGCGCCGCCGCCACATACTGACTAGAACGGCGGAAACTGACGCCCTGGACACGAACCAACAGAGCGCACAAAAAAGGGAGGCAACGAGAACGAAGGAGGTGAGAGAAGTCAGAAGCAGCAGAACGCTACAACCACAAGCACCGCAGGGCATCTATTGTAGGCAGCTACCCCGCTCGAATCCTGCCTACCAAGGCACTCATCACAAGGCAATTCCGAAGGACCACCAACACCATGTCGCCCCCCGCGCGCGGCGCGCCCTCACTGGCTGAGCGCGCCGCCGCCGCCCTCCGACACGGCGGGCGAGTCGGAGACGCCGGAGGACTCGTGCGACGCCGACGCCGACGCCTCCACCCCGCACGCGCGGACCTCGTCGATCATCTTCACCACGTACACGATCTTGGGCCGCTGCTCGGGCGCCGCCGCCGCGCAGCTCAGCGCCAGCTGCAGCATCGCCACCATCTCCTCCTCGGTGCCCTTGTCCTTCATCAGCTCTAGGTCAAACACCTCCGACGTCCACTCCTCCCGCACCACAGACTACACCCACCGGGGCAGCTCCACCACCACGCCGCTGTTGGGGAGCTCGCTCCCGAGGTACCGACCCGTCAGGAGCTCCAGGAGCACCAGGCCCAGCGCGTACACGTCGCCCTTGTGCGACGCCCAGGGACGGGGCGGCGGGGGCGCTTCGAGTGCGCGGTACCCCGCGGAGCGAGCCGCCGCAGCGGCTGGTGACGATCCCAGCTGCGCCAGCCCGCAGTCCGCGAGACGAGCCACGCCGAATCTGTCTAGCAGGATGTTGGTGCTCTTGATGTTGCCGTGCGCCAGCTTGGGTGTGTCGCTGCCACGGCGCCCGGAGTGGTGGATGTAGGCCAGCCCGCGCGCGGCGACGGCCGCAATGCGCAGGCGCGCCGCCCAAGGCAGGAGGGAGGATCATGCTTTACCTGGCCGGGGTCGCGGGCACTCCACGATGCCGGTCGCGGAGGCGGCGGCCGCGGCGCGCCGGCGGGGAGTGGCGCGTGCACGCGGGAGGAGTGAGCGGCGAGACTCCGAGATGGGGAGAGCTCACGCACGAACTGGTGGTGCTGTTGGCCTGTTGGGTGCGTGCGCGAGGGGCGAGTGCCGAGTGGCGGCGATGGAATCATGGAAGGGAGGCGGTGTTGGACTGTTGCGAATGAAGCCAGGACTTTTCCTAGTCCGATGGTCGGCTTCTTCTGGGAATCTCTGTTGCTTTTTCTTTTTCTTTTTTTATCATCAGTGGGTGCCTTCGGATGTTAGTCGCTGTCAGCTACTAGTACTACTCACCTCCTAGTCTTCCGTTCTCCCGGCAATGTATGTTCATTTTCTGTATGCTGGTCCTGCCGATTATATGTCTTTGTCAAAGTGCTATTCGCAGTTATTTCATGATGCGTGACACACGCGGTACAAGGGAGCGATTAAACTATGTACACGATTTATATATTGTTAAGTTTCACAAACAGCTTCGGCCCGTTCGGCCGGATGAAATTGATGAAAAACACGGTTCTGGATAAAATGTTAAGGTAGAACTTGAGTAGCAGATTGGTGTAATTTTTTATAGCTAGAAGGGCAGTGGGTAAGGCTGGATAACGAGCTGGCTTGGCTTGGCTAGTTCTGGCTCGTTAAGATAACGAGCTAGCTCGGCTCGGCTCGTTATTCTAATGAGCCAGAAAGCCAGCTCGACTCGGCTCGTTAAAAACTTGAGCTGGCTCGTTAAGCTCGCGAGCCAGATATAAAAAATACGCAAAATATAATATTTGCATTTATTTAAAGTTTGAGAATAATAATAATATAAAAGAAATGCATCTAGACCAGTTATCAGTCAATTTATAGGGTCTAGACCAGTTACCAGTCAATTGTAAAGTGCAAGACATGAAGTAATACAAAAATTAATATAAGTTTTGATACTTTTTTCCTGGAAGCTTGGCTCGTTTAGCTCGCGAGCTGGCTCGAGTTGGCTCGTTATAGCTAACGAGCTAAAATCTTGGCTCGGCTCGACTCGTTTTCATAACGAGCCGAGCCGAGCCGAGTCGAGCCAGCCACGAGCCGAGCGAGCTAACGAGCTTCGAGTTTTTCGTCCAGCCTTAGCAGTGGGTACCTAGAACCGTGGGCCTTAAGGGAGGGAGTGGAGAGAAACTGCTATTTTTTAGCTTCGTTCCACCTCAAACCTATGTGAGCAGATTTTCAGGAGTTTCCCTTGAAGTTGTTTGGTAAAAAAACTCAGTTTGACACAGAATAGCTTCAAACAACCTGTGAAACTAGTGGAGAAGTTGAACCAAATATGACCTTAATATAATCAACTTCAAGTTTTCATAGATCATGTTTATTTCTGCTTATAATTAATTCATTTATAATCATCATATCGTGAGCATTTTTTATTTTCGATTGTACTAGTCGAAAGTTCTGAAGTAATGGTTAGAAGAATGAAATATAATTAAAATTGTTGATGGAATTTTGTTTTTTTCACCAAAAATCTAATTATAAGCGGGAACAAACAAGATCGTATTTGTGTATGTGCATTCTGAAAGTAAGCAAAGGGTAAACTAACGAGACGAACAATGCAAATAAATTGTTATATGGTAATTGCAAACACATAGTTCGTTTTTTAATTCTAGTCAAATAAATTGTATTTATCTGAACAATTAGACATTAAATAGAAAACAGACAAAAGAAAATTATTTGTTGTGGCTCCTTATCTATTTTTCCCTTACTGTTTTTGGGTGGAAGAATTATCGAGCACATGCATTTTGCTCACACTACATATCTTTAGTGAAAACTGTTACTAACATCGAAAAACATTTTGATGTTAATTAGAAAAAATTAAAAATATCTTCATTCATCTTGTTATATTTCATAGTATCATAAAGTATTTTTTGCATTGCATATACATGTGTATACAGTAGAAATACGAGAGACACATGGGACCCACTCAACCACCACCCATCACCACCATTCCCACTCTCCTTCACTCTGCACCATCTAGGACGCATTTCTACCGAAAGGAGCACTCAACTTGCTTAACCATGAAGCAAAGAAGGATCAGGAAAATGGAGAGGCCATTTGGCCATGATGTGGGGCTGGCCGGCCTGCTGCTCGCCCATCTATAAATATCACTCCTTCCTGGTTGCTCTCGGCCTCAAACACAACTCAAAACCAGCTCCCAAGTTCAAAATTCCAATTCTCAATTTCATAGTTTGAAAATTCTCTTGGTAGAAGTTGTTTTGGAGTAAGAGAAAGGGTGAGAAAATTTGAGAGTAAAATCTTGAGAAAGAGAGAGTGGAAGTGCTGCTAAAATTTGAGCAAGAAAAGAGATTTTAAGAGTGGTAGTGTTGTCCAAATCAAGAGAGAAAACTAAAAAGAATTAGGGTACAAGTCCTGCCAAAATCTTGATTAGAAAATACATTAGGCAACCTCGGATGACTGACCCTCGAACGACTGACTCTGAATGGTTGACCGCTAACATATTATTTTTTTTCCTAATCCGTTCCACGAGTTGTGTTGTCTTCTGTTTATTTTGCAGGAAAATGAGTAACTTAATAGGCAAGATCAAGCGAGCGGCATCGTTCTGTTTGACAAGAAGCTCGTCTTCCAGAGGAAGTGCCGACATGAAAATTTATGTTCCATCTCCTACTGCCGGAGTGCTGTCTAGGTCATCATTCGCTGAGAGGAACATTCTCCTGAAGGAGAAGCACCTTAAGCTCCGAGACAAGACGGAGAAGGACATCTACAAGCAGTTGAAGAATCGCATGTTCATCCTCACTCCCGCCTATGATCCAGCCCTACTGCAAGCAATAGGTATGAATACCGAATTTGACATCATTTTTAAGACTGTAGGATGAGAAGATGTTTGGGAAATAAATGAGCCAGGGTCAAAGCTTTTACCTGTTCAATTTTTATGCACCCTGCAACCCACTAAATCTGAAGTTTCATTTAGACTTTTTGGGAAAGAGATTTCTATTCCCTGGAAGAATTTTAGTGAACTTCTAGGATTCCATGCTCAGTGTTTAATTGATGTTGACACTGCTCTGCAAGACTTTGATAGGATGAAATTTTGGAGGGAGATATCTAAAGAACTTACTTGTTTCCGTCCTCGTACAAATGAAATTGATCACCATACTCTGCGCTTTATGCATAAATGGATAAATGGCTAGGATTTACTTTATTTCCTAGAAATAATTTTCTCACTGTAAGGAATGATGAACTTAAGCTGCTCTATGCCATGGTTAAGAGAAGAAAGGTTTCACCTATCAAATTTATGATGAAACAATGGAAAGAAATTCCTGATCTTAAGGGAGATGTTGGGTGTACTTCTTTGGTTACCTGCATAGCCAAAAATTTAGGTCTTTTGAATAATGCTTCTGTTGCTTACATCGATGACATTCCCCGTTGGTTTATCGATTATGAATATTTTGTACAAGCTCACATGCTAAAGAAGAAAAAGGATGGGAAACTTGTCATGATGTATATAGATTATACAAACGAAATCCCTTTACCAGACCAAAGCCTTGGTCTATATGCGGTGCAGTCTTTTGTTTTTGATTTATAGGTGAAGGAGGCAGCGTCTCGTCGGAGCGCTTCTACGAGACTCACGCGCAACCCGCAGCCCAGGTACCGTGGCGATGATCTGATTCCGGAGGGACCAGCCTTCATCAGCTATGCAGGCTGGGACTAGCCAGGATCTTCCCGCATGTACCAGCCCGAGCAAGCTGGTTGGGAATCCTCCCACATGCATCAACCCGAGCATGCTGGTTAGGAGCAGCCCGCTCCTCAGCATTCTGAGAGCTCCTAGCATTAGGGCTCAAGTGCGCAATGGCAGGATGGCAACTTCGACTACTATCAGCAGACGCCATATGAAGAAGTCTCAAGTGGCCATCAGGGAAGACGTATGTCCTTCTCTGCTTATGGTTACCATGACCAGCCCACGGGCTATCATGAGTAGCAGATGGAGCGCCCCGCCTCGACACCAGGCTGACAACTATCGAAGAGACGCAGCAGGACATTCGGAACCAGCTACACCAGCACTCCCAGTGCCAAGCTAAAATGGGAGAACGCATCACCAGCATCCAGCAGCACTTGGAGCAGGAGAACGAGAATTGGCACTACCTATTCCAGGGTCTCAACATCGACCCACTAGTCTGATCGACCAACCACAGCAACACCCAACTTGGGGGAGGAGCCCCCATTTACCGCAGGTAATTTTTCTTTACTTTTCTAGTATTTTATTTCTTTATTTTCAAGCTTGTTACATACTACTATCATTAAAAAAATGCATAACCCAAAAACAAAATAAAAATTTGTCTTATTCTTTTATATATTAGTAGGTGTGATCTAAAAAATGATGAAAATCAAATAAAAAGAGTGTGTATGTAGTTGGCTTTAAGTTTGCTTTAAATTTCTGTTTTTAAAGAGCCAATAAATAAAAAGAACTTGAAGAAGATGATTCACGA